AGCGTGGAGATTACTCAGCGATTTTTGAAGATTCTATTTTAATTATCTGGTGTGTACTGAAGACGATCAACGACGTTGTGGGATTGTGTATCGATTTCAAGTACGAAGACTACCTACCTGACGTTCCCAAGCTTCAAGGAAGATGTCGCGTTCGCGATCATCATCGGACAGGAGGCGGCACAGACACTCATCATCATCTTCCGGATATCAAGGGAGGAAGCACTCAAGAAGGGGAAGATCGAAAACTCCGAGAGATAGAAGACATAAGTCAAGATCACCATCGTCACGAAGAAGAAAGGCGGAGTCAGGAGCTCCAAGGTGGTTCTCGAGACCATTGTGGGAGCAAAGACGGAATGATTTCCCCCCACCGGAAAATAGAGCGTGGTTTACGGCGGATCTAAATGAACAAATCTTTAAGCTCCGCCGGGAGATGGACAAAGTTCTCAAGACACTGGAGCAACTCACACGAAAGACAAGTGAAAAGCAGCCAGCTCCTCCGAACAAGGAAGACACCGCAAAGAAGCCTGAGCTAACTCCGGACGTGCTCAAGTCCATGATTGATGAAGCACTGAAGCTGATAGAGATGAACCAAGGGGGACAAAATCAAGCTGGTCCAAGTGCAACCAGTCAGAAGAATGCAGAGACGGTATCGGAAGTGCAGAAGGAGGTCAACAACCTGAAGCTACTAAAGTATGATCTGGCGGTTGTGAAGGGAGCGTTGCAGAAGATCAATGAACCGATTCTTACCTGCACTCCGATCGTGTCGTTTTCGGTTTATCCGAACAGATATGTGGGGACAATGGCTGGACTACCAACTTCAGTGCATGGTAGTCACAGCATTCCGAGCCGAAGCATGCCAAGCAGAAGCGCACCAAACAAAAACAGATTGGGACGCGTAATCCCTCCACACCCCAAGAGAGGACGAACGAAGATTAATCGCAACGTGTCGGCAACGAAGTCGAAGGCAAAACGGAGCATTAATTTCGGGGTCGAACCGATGACGGACATGCAGCTCCTTCGTCTTCACCACACGGACC